CCTCCCTCCCTCCCTCCCTCCCTCCCTCCCTCCCCTCCCTCCCCTCCCTCCCCTCCCTCCTCTCCTCCCCTACCTCGCAGTGTCCGCCTTCATGATCGCTGCGTTCCCATACACCGCGTTGCATCCTGCAGCGTTGGGCCTCCCGCTCCTCACCATCCCGAACACATCCAGAGCAACACCAGGGGAGAAGGAGAGGAACGGAGTGACCATGGTTCCCGCAGCTACGATGCTCCCGTCCTCCTCCTTCACCTTCACCGTCGTCACCTCCTCCCGCTGATTCGCACTCCCAACCAGCTTCACCCACTCCGGCAGCCCCGACGAGACCTCGTACTTGACCAGGAACGAGTCCGACCCCGTCCCCTGCGGCCGCAGGAAGCCGCTGCAAGGTTCTGATGCGGGGGCTCCTCCCTGCTCTCCCACCTTGAACCTCCTGCTGCAGCCCAGCGGCTGCCGCGTCACCCCAAAGTCAGCTGAGACCGAGCTCTGCTCGCTGCTCCCGCTCGATCCCAGGGTGCCCGCAACCACGACGAAGGTGACGGCAGTGAAGTCGATCGCCTCCTCCCCGTACCTCCTGACCGCCTCCTCCATGCTCGGTGCGTAGAAGGGGACGGAGGAGGCGTCGCTGGTGAACTCCGGGCGGTTGCGGAGGAAGCGAACGCCCTCGAAGATGGAGGAGGAGGAAATCACGATCATCTGACTCAGCCGTTTGCTCCAGGCAATGCTGCCGTCCTCGTTGAAGCAGATCACCAGGCTGTTGTATCCTCCTGCCGGTCCATCGTAGGTGAAGCTCTCCGCCAGAGAAAAGCTAAGAAGCTGACCTCCTCCTCCTCCTCCTCCTCCTCCTCCTGCACAGAACACGCTCATGCCGGGTATCCCTCCTTGGCAGCTCTCTACACTGACAGTCTTGACGGAAGAGGAGGGTGGAGGGCCGAAGGTGGCGGAGAGGACGAGGAAGGAGGAAGAGGCAGAGAACGACTTGACGCGGTTGACGCCTGACTGCGCGCCAAGATCTGAGAGGAAGCGAACCCACAGGAGGAGGAAGGAGGACTCGGTGAAGAAGGCCTTTCCCACGAAGCCAACGGAAGAGTCGGAGGAGGGCAGGAGGGAGGCGACGGCTGCCGCGAAGGACTGGGAGGACTGAAAGTTGAGCTGGGGAAAGGAGATGTTGACCAGAGTCGAGCTCGCGCGAACGCTGAGGGTACCAGCGAAGTAGAGGAGGGATCCGACGGTTCCTTGAGGAAAGGAGGAGACGAGGGGAGGAGGAGGCTGCATGACGTTAGCGGGGGAGAGCGTCAGCATCAGGGGGGAAGGAAGAGCTGCCGAAGAGGAGGAGGAGGAGGCGACGCCCTGGACGAGCAGCTCGAGGATGCCGGTGTCCGTGAAGACCGCGATGAAGCCGCTGGAGGAAGGGAAGCTCCGATCGATGCGCATGGAGGAGCAGGAGGGGCGGGAGTTCGGGTCAGCCACCCTGTAGACGGGTGAAGGGCAGGAAGGGGCTGTTGACTGCTTCATGCTGAGCCCTGTGACGGGGTCGACGTTGTAGAGGATGGCGGGAGACTTGGCGAAGACGCCGGAGAGGATGAGCCTCCTCCTCCCGCTCGGCGTCGAGTAGAGGACAAGGTCGTCAAGGCTGAGACTCCCTCCGTCTTGCAGCCTGAGGTGACAGTGAGGAGGGGAAGAGGGGAGAGGAAGACAGAGCAGGAGGGGGAGGGGGAGGAGGAGAAAGCGAAGGAGGAACAGGAGGATGAATTTTGGGTATGCGAGAAGGGCGTGTAGAGCAGGAGCAAGAAGAAGCCGCAGCCGCAGCAGATGCAGGGAGAGCAGGAAGGACAGGAAGAAGTAGAAGCAAGAAGAGGAGGAGGGCAGCAGCAGCAGCAGCTCTACCTTCCATCTGTGCAGTCACCGGAGAAGACGCACGTGAAGGGCTCGGCTGTTGTCAGCCACGAGCAGCTGCCGGAGGCTTCGAAACGAGCGAGAAAACTCCCGACAACCCCCGGTAGAAGAGCCGCAGAGCAGCTCCTCCCCCCAGCTGCCTCCCTGACCTCCCCCAGCTGGAACGAGCTGACCCCCCTCGTGGTCCCTGTGGCCATCGAGCCGAGCAGGGAGCCGGAGACGAAGATCGCCCCCGTGACGGTGTCAACGGCCAGCGAGCTGGCCTGCAGCTGGGAGGTGTCGGTCAAGGGCTTCAAGAAGCTGGACCACTTCATCTCCACGCTGCCGTACTGAAGGAGGTCCCCAGCTGAGAGATAGGAGGCGCAGGAGGTGTGCATGACGTGTCCGACTTCGCCCTGCGGGATGGCGACCTGGAGGGGCTCTCGAGCCATCGTGCCTGGTGGGATGCTGCAAAGGAGGACTGAAGTTTGCGGGGAGACATCCTGCCTGGCTGGGTTGCACGGCTGGAAAACAGCAGAGGGAGGGAGGGAGGGAGGGAGGGACAGGGACTTCAGCTGGAATCGAGCAAGGCAAGAGCTGGACGTACCTGACAGGACCCTCCGCAGTTGTTTCCCGTCTCGTCCCCGACAGCAGCTGTGAAGCAATGCTCGGGCAGACAGTCCCTTCCTCCCTCATCCACCTTAGTCTCGTCGAAGTTCTGGACCCCATCGCTACAGTGCTCGTTGAGCTGCATGAGCTGACAGGGCTGGCAGTCGGCCCCTCCGCAGTCTACCTTATCCTCTCCCCCGTTGAGCAGCCCGTCCCTGCAGTGCGAGGGGAGGAGCATCGGGTCAGAGGGCGCGCTCCCTGCCGTCCACTGCGACAGAGGGTACCCGCACTTGGCTTCCTCCTGCCCCACCCGGATCAGAGGGCGGCTGCCGTACAGACCGAAGTTCTCCCCGTAGACTGTTAGGGTCCCTCCCCCTCCAGCTCGGCCCCTCCTGGGCCAGAAGCTCGAGATTCTCGGCTGCCACGATGAGACTGTCGGGCACGATACCGCCCCCTCCTTGGGCCATCGCCCGTCGTCCCAGTCTCTCCTGTCAACATTCCCCGTCGCTGCCTGACCGTTTCCTCCCTCCCCCTTGCAGACTGACTCTCCAGCAGCCCGGGAGCAGAGCCTCGACGTCCCATTCCTGCAGCATCCAAAGATCTCCCCTCCAGCTGTGGTCCTGCTGCCCGGTAGAAGCTGCAAGGACACTTGAGAGAGGCGGGTCCTCTCCTCCCCTCGGTAGTACTTCCCTCTCAGCTGAAGGCCTGCAAGGGAACGTGAGGGAGCTGGAGAGGCAGGAGAAGCTCTCGAGTCTACCAGCAATGTGCCAGAGAGCTCCGACGAGATCTTGCTCGGAGGCCGGACGGAGCTTGAGGTATCCGGAGTTCCTCTTGCTGATGAGGAACCACTTGGAGGAGGGGAGGAAGTTGAGACAGGTCGCAGTGCGCACGACTCGGCCGGGGGTAACCTGGATGGGAGAGGGTCGGTCGAGAAAGAGGGACAAAAGGGAGGAGGAGAGAGGGAGGAGGAGAGAGGGAGGAGGAGGGAGGGAGGCAGGGAGGCAGGCAGACTTTTCACCGCTCCGAAGAGACCAAGCTTCGATCCGCAGCGGGTGCTGATGATGCTGCGAGAGGCGGTGAACGAAGTGAGAGGAACGAGAGAGCTCAGGTTACATGTCGGGTTCGTCGCTGCTGCTCTTCTGTCACTTCCGTTGGGAGGCAGGGGAGCGAGAGGAGGATGAAGGGGAGGATAAGCAGCTGCGAGGTGCGCATAGCTCTGCTCTCACAGGTTGCAGCTCCAGCTTCACCGTCCCATCACTGAGGGGGAGAAGGAGGGAGAAGACAGAGGGAGAGGCGGGAGACGACAGATAGGAAGGAGGAGGGGAGAGAGAGGACTGACCGGGGCCCAACCGAAGGAAGCTCTCCGGGAACAGGTACCACCAGGTGGCTTTGCTGTTCAGCAGACTGTCGGGGCTCGCGATAGCGTCATCATAGACTACGACGTCGAGGGTGCCCGAATCAAGAGCAACCCTCCAGTCCTGCCATTGTGAGCTGAACGCTGCGTCAAGCCAGTGCGGGTTCAATGGTGGCACGAGCAAGAGAAGGTACCGGTAGTCTGATGTTGACCAGAGGATAGTCTGCGAGGTAGCTGCACATAGCAAGAACGTAGCGCAGAACCAAAACCTCATCTCGTTCTGCCGTTTGCCAGGAAGCAGAGCATATCTTTCATCGGGCCATGCTGCATGTACATTTAGAGAGCATCCTCTTCTGTCAAGGCTACAGTCTCGCCGATCGATTTCACAATGTTGCTCCCCAACCCATTCAACCGTCCCTCCGACCCCTCCCCTCCCTCCCTCCCTCCCTCCCTCCCTCCCTTTCACTCATGGTCCTTCCTCTCCCACCTACTCTCTCTCCCGCTCAGTCGCTCTCAGTCGCTGCCATCTCCCTCCTAAGTTCGCTATGCCCATGTCTGCATGCCAGGCTGTCCCTGAACCTCACTCCGAGGCTCGACGCCTTGCGCGCGTCCATCGCAACTCAAGTCTTATCTATTTGACTACCCCTGTCAAATCCGTTTGTCCGATCCTGATCCCGGAGTCCTGAGCATGCCAGTGCCGTCGCTTGCGTGGTCCTTTCACGCTTTGCTCTGTTTCGCCTTGCTTTTCAGTCAAAAAAGAAACTTTTATGAGCGGGGGGCCGCGACTGATGAGCCTCACTGCCGTGAGCCCAACTTGCAAAGGGCTCAGCCCGGCCCCCCGGCGGTGGGCCGGGACTCCCGGAAGTTCTGGCTAGTTTCACAACGCATCATGTGTGCTGAGAGTGGCGGGGCTGGCCAAGTAGGTCACTGCGGGTCACCATGTCAAATCCCTTGCGAGTTGGGCCGCCGCAATGGACTTCAGGGAGCCGGCGGGCCCGAGCGGCCCCCCGAGTCTATTTCTGGAGCGCCGGTCGGAGATTCCGTTCCGAGAGCAACGGCAGTAACGGCCGACAGACCAAAACCACGGTATGGCTGCGGCCCTGAGTGGGAAAGAGGGGACGTGGAGGAGGAGAGGGAGAGGAAGGAGAGATGAGGAGGAGGAAGGCAGGATGAGAGGAGGTAGATGGTGCAGGATGACAGGAAGGAGGCAGGGACGCGCCTTTGATGGCAGTACCCTCAGTGATGGCTGTAAGATTGCAAAGGGAAACGAGAGGGTGTGCGATAGATGATTGAGGGGAGCAAGTAACGTGGGATAGGAAAGCAAGGCGAGATGGTGGAGTAGGAGGTAGGAAGGTGAATCAATACTATGATATGTCATGAGAGTGAGGAAGGGAAGGAGAGGGAGGGCAGAGGAGGAGGAAGGGAAAAGGGACAGACACGTCCAAAAGGACGCACGATGAGTGAAGCCATAGAAGGAGATGATAGGAGGAGAAATATGCGAAGGGCACCTCTGACCATTGGTAGTGCGCGAGAGATCTTGACCCCATGGCTGTAAGGATGGCGATGTCGGAGGAGCGATGAAATCTTCAACACCTGGATCACCTGCTAACATTCTTGTGTAGGGTATGTACGACAAGATGGATTTCTGGAAGTACCTCGTGGGTATCTGCAGCGGCCACAAGCTGGAAGCAGCAGGGCACGGCAAGTCGATCGAGGCGAATGAGGAGGAGAGGGCGAGGAGCATGCGGCATAGCGTGGGGCAGGTCACCAGGGAAAGGAAGGTTTGCTGCCTCGGGCTGGAGCTGGGGGAGTCCAAGACTGGATCCATCGTGGTGATGCGGGTGTTCTCAGACAATGTGGAGTTCCATCAGAACAAGGTGGAGGCGGGAGACAGGCTGCTGGCTGTTGACAGCAACATCGTCAAGGGGTACGACCTTGATGTCGTAGCAGCACTGCTAGAGGGCCCTGCAGAGACAGCAGTAAACCTTCACCTTGCGAGGCCCCTGCACGGCAGAGGAGGGGAGAGCTTTGATTTTGTTTTTGTCACCCTGATAAGAGACAATTCGATCATCGAGTCCAAGTTCTCCAGCAGCAGCTTCAACCTCAAGGCAGTGCCTACAGTTCCTCCCATCTACGCTGACATCATCTCTTACGGGTCCTTGAACTACCAGTCCAAGACAAGGTGAGCTGAGGCTCCTGTGCTCCTTGCTACCCTTCACTTGTTTTCTTCGCCCGTGTTGCGATGAGCATGTCAAGTCAGGATGGTTACTGACACCTTCCGCCTTGATGGCAGAGGCTCCAAGGCGTCGCATCGGCAAGACCCTTTTTTGTACGAAGATCGAATAACACAGATGAAGTTTGTCGAGGCAGGAGAAGCTGCAAGAAGAAAGTATCAGGTGAACATGGCTCAGAGTCAACACAGAAGAGCTGTGTCAGTTCAAGATGTTCGAAACAAACAGTTGCGTTCAAGAAACCTCTCGAGCGACGACGAACTCAAGTCGACTGTTTATTCTCAGCACAGCCATCAGGGGTCCTCCCAAGAAACAGCCTTGAGGCCGGAGGACATGCCCATATGGTTCAGCGCGCGTAAGAGTAGGGCTGAGGACAGGACGAGCGTGGAGGGATCTATCAACAAGCAACTCCACTTTGACGATTCAAGCACTGCTTCATCGGAGACTTCACCTCACGGTCAGAGCATCAACAGTATCGGTTCTCCGTTCTAGCTCACTCAGTACTGTTGGTGTTTCCGAAGTATCGCTAGACAGCGCGAATAAACACTTACGATTCGTGGTCCGCAATGCACAGAAAGCATGGCTACACTCGTAAAGCACTTGTCACTGAGGTAAAGTGTTTCCAAGATCGATGAGAACATGATTGGTTATTCTACTGTGTCGAGTATGTGGCGTGGACATTGAATGTTGTACTGTACAAGACATTCTTTTGTGTGGAGCTGTACTCTCACAGTCTATGCATACACCATCTGAATCTACTGCGCGTACTCTGCGTATCCCTCGTCAGAGGTATAGAAGGCCACGTTCCTTTCCTGCAGTGGGGATGCTCAGCCGAACTCAGTCACGAGCCTCACGGTCCTCATACCTCGTCATACTCTCCCAGGCCGTCAAGAAAGACTGACTTCTCGTGCAGCTTCCGCTTGCAGGCGATGTCGACATCGCCCGGAATGTCGACTTGAGATTCCACCACAATCTGCGAGCAGAAGTTCAGCGACTTGATCGCATCGAGTCATGGAAATCTGCCTTGATGAAGAGCAAGATGTGCTCTAGCGCTAGCGCTAGTGCCGTTCGCCCGTACATCTGACGTATCAAGATCAAATCACGACATACGCACCATGAAGCAAGGCCAACCGTGATGTTGGGAAAGTAGTACAAGACAGCATTAGATGTGAAGCAGATATACGCGCTCTGCGTAACAATGCTCATGATCACTATGATGTCCAGAATGATCCCCCATGCCCCCACTGTCTGCGAGCATCTGTACCTAAAGGACACTGAAAGTTATTTCCTGCCCCCTCTGATTCGTGGGACTCACAGAGGTCGTCGCAGAGAGAACAAGAGTTGTCGTGCTCTTCCTCTGAGCTCAAAGATGCTCGTTGCAACGAAGATGAGAATCTGATAGAGAGCTGGTCAGCTCTTGAAGCTTGCTGTACCGTAATGCTGCACCATGAGCGGAAACGCTGATCCGAACAGCAAGATGTAGCCTAAGTCAACCACCTGAAGTTCATGTCAACAGGGGCTGCTTTGAGCCTGGCAACTGATACCCTTGAGTCGAAGAAATGGTCAATCCCTGGGAACGAGGGCTTCTTGAACTCCTGTACACACATGCTGATCAGATCACACGCATATGAACGATAGATCATCACATTTTCAACTCGCCCAACCTCCTCTTCTGTTCACGGCAGGTGGTTGTCAGCGAAAGCAAATAAGTGCGATGACAGCATTTACCGATATCATCGACTGACTCCTCGTTTGGTCGATTGGATGTTCGCATCATCTCGAATACTCTTCTGCTCACTAGCCGAGTGAGGAACACTATAGAGACAACAATCTCCAAGTAATCGACACAGCTTGACCCCTAAATCACACATCAGATCCCGCTCAGAAGAATCTCGCTTGGCCTCACCGGACAACCCATGTATGCACCAAAAGGTTGATAGCGATTGTTCAAAAACGCAACGCAGAATATCGGAAAGAACTCGTTGATGAACGTGATCGACAATAGTTTTGAAACATACGCATTTCGATACTACAAGGCAAGGTTAGAACAGCCACCACAAATGTGGATCACAATGACCTGCGAATCGAATCTCCAGTTCTCGAGGGCAGTGAAGTACTCACAAAGATGTTCTGATGCCCAACGGAAGGCTAGGATCAGGATCGCCTGCAGTAGAGTGCCGATAACCCGAGGAATCCACTCTGAGAGAATCAGTCATGGCAGCCCTGGGGGTCAGAAAGCTCTGAGCAAACCGGATCCTCCTTCGATGCTCCCAAGACTAGACTTCAAAACTTCCAACCCCAAAGTCGTTAACGTGATCAGAAAGATCACACCAGATACTGCGGCAGAAAAGTTCGGCTACTGCTATAACAACAAGAAGAAGAGATAATGCAAATTCACCTGCGGTCACGCTCGCTGTAAGAAATATGCTTCTCCAAATTGGATCGGGATAGAACTCCTGGTTGAAAGAACTTGTTACACAACCTCGAGATCGCAAGAATGGCATAATAACTCAACCTCTTTCGAGGTGATGTTGTTCAATCTTTTGTATGTCTTTGAATTTTGTACAAACTCTCTTCGGTCGCTCTGTTGGAATTCAGAAAATGTTTCATGGTATCAGGTCCAACGGGTACCTCTTTGTCTTCATACTCGGCAAGGCTCCATTCATTCTGATATATTATTTCAAGTCTCTTCCATTCACTCGTCATGAAAATGCCCCAGGCTGCGACTGAGGTGAAAAATCAGCTTTCATCTCGTAGCTTCGCACGATTCACCGAATAGCGAGAACAATGGAGTGAACGGATTGTCGACAGAGCCCGATTGTATTGATATGATTTGCGCAGCAAATACTAATACCTGCACCAAACTCAATTCATCAACCTCCTCATAGTTGCTTGTTACCCCAAGAATGGCAGGAATCCACATCATTTTCAGCGTGAAACCAAACCAAGCAAAGTAAAGAGCGATCTCTTCACCGAAGTACTCGCGGATGTCTTCTATCGGCTGCTTGTTGGCATACGAATTTACCCAAAACTTCTCCAGCCACTCCCTCTTGTTCTCTTGATGCAATGGGAAATGATCGACTATCTTCTCGTCTATCTGCAGCTGTTCCAATATGCTGTTGCCAGGTTCGCAAGCCTCCTTCTGCATCAGTTGTGGTCCTAGCACTCGCTCATCAACGTCATTGAGCAGGAAGTGAATTATGTGTTGTTGCTGGCAGCTAGAGAACACAGTCCCCTCTGTCGACTTCTCATAATGCGGAGCAAGATGTCCCTGGAAATGCATCCAAGCGCCTGCCCCTTTGATCTCATTCATCTCGTCGTCCAACTTCTGAAGTCTTAGTCTGATGAGCTCATACTCTCCCATGATTTCTGCTATCATCTTCTGTCGTTTTTCGGCGATGGACACAAGAGCAAACATGTACTTGTTATCAGAGCTCATGAACTCTCGGACGATGATGTCAGCAGATCGGAGCTTATCCAAGATAGGCTGCATAGTTAGCTTAGCGTAGGACACACCCTCACCACTTATCCATTCATCATCCGTCTGAAAGACAAGAACATAGCTTGCCAATGTAAGGGGGAAGCGAGGAATGGGAAACTGTCGCTTTTCCTCTGCTTGGTAGCCCATCTCCAACAACTTCATCCTTTCTACCTTCAATGTCTTCGAACGAAACTTTGCCCCGTGTGCCTTCGCCTTTGAGCCCGCCATCTTCTTTCCCACTGCATGCTCCTCCCCTGCCTCCCCCTGCCTCCTCCTCCTCCGTCCCGTCGCCTCCACCATGAATCCTGCGCGCGAAGAGACAACCAACCAATTTCAACCCCCACCCCTACCCTAACATTGCAGACCACCCCCTCCTACAAATATGTTACACCACCCCTTCTCCTACTCCAGAACGTACCCCCATCATGACCCACCCCAGAAAGCCGATGCCGTTCCTACTGGTGACGAGAAATGAGCGATGCCAGCACCGAGATGGCTGTCGTGCTGTCCTGCGCTGCATGGTGGAAGCTGCTGTCAGACGCTCCTGTCTGAATGACAATATCGACATCTGATGGCACCCTCTTGATGCCGTCCTCGCACGTTCATGCTCGTAGAAATAGAGACAAAAGTTCATGCTCTTGTGTCTGGCCCCAATCTATCCCATGAAGGCTCAGGAGGAAATATGAGGCTAAAATGACATCCATCAGCTGTTAGGGAGGGTGAAAAGGAAACAGAGAGTGGGAGGGAGACGCGAGAGAGACAAAAATCATATCGCTAAAAGTCCAAGACAGTTGATTCGTAGAAGCGTATTCTTGTTTTAGGCGAATGACAATCCTTCATCATCTGCTGTAGCATGTCATAGTGATTGCTTTCTTCCAGTTTCACCTTCATACAACTGCAGTGCATGACATCCTAACAATTGCACTGACACGTTTGGGAAGCAGGCGGCATGTTAATGCTTTGTTCAAGAAGCAAGACGTTTTCATCCTTTTGTGCCGCCGGTTCCTAGAAACAAACATGCCATGGAAGAGGTTTTTTTTAAGCTTCACAGGCATCTGCCTCGTTAACTTTGGTAAGGGGACAAGAGTAATTGAAGTCTCGAGATGTTCTAATTGCTCCGTATGGCAGGTTGTTGCATTGAATGCTACACAACTCAACAGCCGTGCGTTGTGAACAGTGGATACGATGGAGGCTGTCTGCAGGCAAACAAGGGAAGAAGTAATGTTCAACGTGGCTCAAACTTCATGCAGGACATCGGAGTTCTTGTGAATTGCAGCGCAGGATCGGCATGTTTTACAGTACGCTCGTCATGAACTCATCGGCGGACTGACCTCTCGTGAAGAACTTCAGGGTGGGAGCCCCAAGTTACTACTATCTTGAGAAGAGCTGCTTCGTTGAATGCAAGACCAATGTAAGTTGAAAGTTGTACCAGATGGGATTGCTGATACATTGCAACAACCAGACGACAGGATGGACGACAGGTGATGGGATCCAAGTCCATCAGTATCAGCAATGCTGCACTGAGTCGAAATGTATCTTCTTTGATGTGATTTCAAATGGATTTATGTATTTAAATAATTCCATAGGCAATTTCGCAAATTTCTTGCCGAGTCGAGCTAGACCTGAAGTTGGCTCAACGGATCGTATTGAAAGATTTTTTGTGGTTCTACTTTCTTGTATGCTGCTACTCAAGCTGTAGATGTCAAATAAATAAATGATGCATGTTAAATATTGAATTTACAGTGTCCTATCCAAGTAATAGCTCTTGTTGTACTCATTGAAATGGTGCATGGGGAAATTCTGTGAACTTTGAAGTTGCCAGGCGCGTTGCTTTCACAACAATTATGGAACTATCCGCTTTCTTTGACTTCCTGATGACAGGAGGGGGTCCAAGGTGCTCTGTTTCCGGTTCTTGATGATTTGGTGGGGTTCTATATCCTCGCGCCATCAAGGCTCGCTGGTGCGCATTCTCGACTGCAGGCTTGATTCCATGCTGTAGAACATCCTGTGAGAGCCATCTGAAAGTACTCTGTGAGCCCACAAGGGTATGTCCCAGAGCTACATTGAGTAGGATCTCTTCTATGGTACAATTGGAAAACACATCGTGCTCATCTTCTCCTGTGGATTCCCCCCAAGATTCCAGGGGTAAAGTTGCATCAAGCTCCTCGATACAATCTGAGCATTCCACTTCGCTCAAGATGGTGACAGTCGCACGGGAGGAGATTGATCTCGATTGATCCATATCGTCCTCCACTTTCGCTGCCTTCCCTATTGACATATCTGCTTTCAGTCGAATAATCTGGGTGGAATTATCTTAAAGTGTACTAGAGGTCTCTCAGAGGGGTGCAGGAGCGAGGAGTACTGGCGAACAGAGGAGCAGGAGGATTCTAGGAAGAACAAGCAGGACAGGATGAGGAGGCAGGAGGAGGGGATCAAGAAAACTACGAGGGTTGATGCTTGCTAAGGGATCCTGCCTGCAAGGCTACCCGATTTTAGACTTTGGTGGATTTGTGATGGGTAGGGGTTCAACATTTGGGGGTAGGGGTACACATGGATAGATGCTTGTAGTTTGAATATCGATGAGCCAATTGAAGATTTTGTGTGGATAATGATGTACATTACAATTTCAGGGGTGTGTGAAAATGTTCTGGTAAATGATGTGGGTAGGGGTCCATCATCCCGTAAACGAGTTTTGGGGCACAAAAAACATTTTAAAAGGCGGAGTAATAAAGGGGTCCTAGGAAAGTGCTATTCCAGTACCGTGGTAAAAGGGGTAAGTGGTCGTATTCGATAGGTTTTAATTTTTAGGGCTCTATTCCCTCTCCTAGGACTCAAGAGGTAGGTGTACCCTGCGGATTAAAAAGGGCCCTAGCCTTCCAAGGTCCTAGTGGAGTTTCCCGTCTCTCCAGGAGGGGTCCACCAATAATCTGGGGATGGGAGGGGGTTGTGTGTCCCCTTTCGTGCCCGTCAGCGTGGCAGGTTCATTTTCATGACTGTGAGTTCACCCCGAAGGTCAGTCCTGCTCACTAGGCCTTTACTCAAAGTTAAGTTAAAAATGGCAGTACCAGGACAATCAGGAGACTGATACTCTCTTTACTCAAAGTTAATTAAGACTCGGACTCGGGCCCAGTTACGGGGCCCGGGGCCGGGCCAGCGGGCCCGGCCCCGGGCACGCCGTACGGTGCCGCCGGGCACGGGCGGCTCGCGCCGCGGCCACTGGCGCTCCGCCGGCTCCGACGGCCTTCTATTATTGAACTCTCGGTGCCCCCGGACCGAAAACCCCTTGTTTCCTCACAATATTATGGGGAGAAGGTAGGGTACTATTCCCCGATGGCCACCCTCCCTAGCATGCTCCCTGAAGACTAGTGACGGGTCCAGCACCAATATCGGTACCCTTAGGGGTAGGTACCAGAAAGCCTCTGGAGTACCCGTCCAGTTTCATCAGAGTAAACCCCACCCCTTTGAGTGGAGTGTAACACCACATGGATAAGGAGGGGGTAGTCTGTGAAGGGTAATTACGAAGAGCCGCGACAAAAGGAAATGCGGGCTGCAGTAGCTGCCGCCTGTGTTGTGGCCGTGCTGTGCACGATGGTGGCGCTTAACGAGAGGGAAATCCATAGCCCTGCATTCCTCCTCCTACAGAAGCAAACTGGACCTCAGTACGCTCCTCTCCCCAGCTTCCATGACAAGCAGGGAACCAACCGTGCTTTCTTGAACAAGGGAGACGGAGACGGTCAGAGCACCAAGAGCAGGGTTCAGATGCTTGCTGAGAAGGCTGGACCCCAGTACGCTCCTCTCCCAAGCTTCCATGACAAGCAGGGAACCAACCGTGCTTTCTTGAACAAGGGAGACGGAGACGGTCAGAGCACCAAGAGCAGGGTTCAGATGCTTGCTGAGAAGGCTGGACCTCAGTACGCTCCTCTCCCCAGCTTCCATGACAAGCAGGGAACCAACCGTGCTTTCTTGAACAAGGGCGACGGAGACGGTCAGAGCACCAAGAGCAGGGTTCAGATGCTTGCTGAGAAGGCTGGACCCCAGTACGCTCCTCTCCCAAGCTTCCATGACAAGCAGGGAACCAACCGTGCTTTCTTGAACAAGGGCGACGGAGACGGTCAGAGCACCAAGAGCAGGGTTCAGATGCTTGCTGATACTCCCAAGTTGAACTATATCCCTCTTCCCAATGCTGGGGGCATGGGCACCAACAAAGTGTTTGCAAATGTTGGAGATGGTTCCGGCCTTGGCCACATGTCAAAGTTGAATGCCGAAGGCACGAACGTTGCCTTCATCAACAAGGGAGATGGATCTGGACAGAGCACCAAGGCCCTGAAGACCCAAAAGTTGTATGAATGGTCGGCTGGTAAGCTTTCGTCACCCGTTACAAGCCTCGTTTGTTTGTGTTTTGACATGGACAATGCCAGATATGGAGGGAACCTATCTTCCCGCAGATCAGTTCTACACTGGCGCAGGAACCAAGCAGATCAACATGGCTGGACCCGCTTTTTCTCACACGGTACTTGTCATACACTTTTTTGGGACTCAAGCTGATTTTTGTTTGACAGGCGACGGATGAGAACAATCTTGGTGGAATTCCAGGAAGCCAGCCTGCAAACATCCTTCCCTACGCCAGCAGCTACGTGATTGGACATTAAGCTTGTATAGTGGCAGTCTCACGACAAGTTCTTGTTTTGATTTAGCATGAAATGTTTCTTGATCCCACTCTTCTCACTATCAATTCGAATCAAACAGCTATGTCTTTGGCGAACACGAGCCAAGAGATCTATCCACTTGTGTCAAACTTGCTTTTGCGTTATTTATCATTTACAGAAAGGACCGTGCGGTCCAGATACACTACATCTTGTACGTTCAAGGTTTCGGAGATGTGCATTGGATGATTACTTCCTGAACACCATTCTCATCTGCATCCTGTCAACGGTTGCGCGATGTTCAGTTGTCTGGTAACTTGGCATCATCTTTGTGTTTTGGTTTGCGCGATCTTGAACGTACGAGCTAATATCTACACCGCCAAGTTCCTGAAGTTCCCTCTCGAGATCGGAAAGGCTCCTCTGCAGAGTTGGCCACTCAGGCGTGGAATCGGATGAGGAAACCCTCTGTATAGTGCTTGCCCATGATTTGCACGGGCAGGACTGTCCAAAATGGCATTTCTTCTGCGTATTTCCTTCCTGTTTCACGGCATGCGGATTGGTTTGCGCGCTGGAATCATGTCTTCCACAGATTTGTTCTGCGAAAATCTGACCACTGACAAGCAGAAAGACTGAGATTGACAAGAGCACACTTCTCATCTTCAGGCAAGGCCGCACAAGACTAGCATCACTGATATCCGGGAAAAGCCTCTTGAACAAATCTTTTAGCAACCTGATAAGAAAGTCAGCCTACATACAACGTATCATTTCTAGAAACTGTGCTTTAACCCTCCGTATTCTGCACTTTGATGTTCAAATACCTCCACACTCCCCCACTCTTTGATTTTCGCACCCTTAGAAGAATCATGTTCTATTTTGATGGGCTCTACGCACCACAAAATCGACAGCAATACGTTTTCTACCTTATTCCTGTTTGCCTTGACTGTGATCAGTACCTTTCCACCCTTCATCCTGATCCAAGTTCCTTGATTGCTTTTGTTTATACTCTCTGGCAACCGCCAAACTCATTGCGATCAATTCTCAATTATGTCATTTTCTTGTGATTCTCATTTGTATCTCAAAAAGATTGTTGGTAGCCTTCCTTCTATGTATACCTGAGTCTGGACTCACAAAGCTTTGACCTTTTCAATCTTTTCTCCCTATATCGCTCTCCCCGTGATTCTGAATCTGCCTCTCTTCCATCAGCACTTTCAGGCTCTCTTGTCTTTTCATCTTCCTATCGTCTCCATCTTTCCTCCCGTCGCTTTCTGTCTCTCTTCGTCAACCATTGGCCTTCTACTCGCTGCATTCACAACGTCCCTGAAATTCCTTGCTCGAGGGGGATGGAAAATGGAATGGGCAATAAAGGGTAGGGTGATCTGACGATTGGTATACGTACTTGATCACCGGTATTTCATCGAATTGAATGCATTGAAAAATTAGGGTAGGGTACTAGGACAATGGGGTAGTGATGCAACAAGAGGGGTAGGGGGTGGGGGTCGTATCTTTGGGGTTGTTGAGATACTACTATAATACTTTTAGGCAAACCCCCTTAAAATTCGTTCTAAAACTGAGGGCCATGGTGGGGTACAAATAAGCAGGGTGTGTGACAACAGTGAAAGTGGAAGTACCGGGTACAATCATATGATGAGATGGGTAGTTGCAGTCGGTCATCTGAAATTCGAGGGTGGGGGTACGATCAGACTTCTACGGATCTGAGCGATAGGGGGTAGAACGGAAGGTTTGATTATGTAAGCAAGGTGGTTCATTGGTGTTGGTGGGTGGGGGTAGTGGAAAGAGGGAGGGTATACGTCCGGTAGAGGATTCAAGAGACTTTTGATATGTGGAGTTCAGAGAATTTTGCAGCAGAGGCGTCGATGGAAACGCGGAGGTCATGTGGATGGGTAGATGTTCAACGAGTGGGGTAGGGTGTATTTCCCTACGATATGATAGGGTGGGTGATCGAAGGGGAAAGGATGGGGGGCGACGGGGGGCGAGTGCTTGTAGTTGAAATAAATGAAACAATACTTGAAATTTAGGGATAATATTTGAAAAAGTGTATAAACTCTCAGATACGGCCCGGACTCTGTTTTTGTGTCCCGTGACCCATCTGTTTTTAAAAAATGTATCCGCAATAAACCACCATTATAGTAGGTACAAATTAACCTACAAATAATATATGAACCCCTAAACTCACGTTGTTTCATATTTATTAATTTTATCTGTCTCTCATCGTAACTCAAGGGTCTCATCCCGTAATACTAAATGCCGATCGGATTTACGACCCCCTTTCATGACATCACCTCAGGCTCGCCGGAGCCGCGACTCGGCGAGGGCCTCCCGCCGGGAGGGCCGGGCCGCCGCCCGGCCCGGGCCCGGGCCCGGGGGCCGTCCGGGATGAGATGATGGCAGGAGTGACTGGCAGGCGTGCGGCGGCAGCATTGCCATTCAATCCGACCGTGGCCTGAGTCGCTCAATCAAGCAAGTTTGAACTTCCGCAATTGCCGCCGCTAAGCCTCTCACTCCGAAGCACTGGACTCCGCGGCCTGTCGATCGCGCGGCCGGGTCGGACGGCGCCGGGATGCGGCGCCGCGCGGCCGCGCAGTGACGGTCACAGTGACACCGTGCAGGCACGGCGGCGGCAGATGGGGCCCCGGGCCGCCGGGCTGCTCAGTGACTCCGGGAGGCGAGTGTGACGCCGGCGGTCGGTCACCGGCCCGGGGGCGGCCCGGGCCCGGCGACCGTCCGTCACGCCACCATCATGATCATGATCCGATCCGCTCAACTCAGTTGATTCGAATCGGACCGTGCCAGCTCGGACCGTACTCGCCCGGCCGCGCCGGGACGCCGGTTGGCCAGCAGTGCCACGGTGACTCGGGGACTCCGGATGGGACTCCGGGACGGCCGGCGCCGGGCCACAGCTGATCGGTACGCCGCCGGAAGCGCGGCTCCCCGGAGGCTGACTCGGATCACTCGGCCCGGCCCGGCGGACTCGGGACGAGTGCCAGACGCCGGTCAGTGGCCCGGGGCTTGGGGACGCCGGGGGCCTGATCCCGGGCCCGGAGACGGTCCGAGCTGTGCTTTCCATAGTACTGAGAAAAGACTGAGTAGCCTGTCACGCTGCCACGGACCGTACGGTACCGTCCGACCGGGCCCGGCCGGCCCGGGGCCCGGGCCGGCCGCCGTCAGGGCTGCCAGGGTACGCCGATCCCGGGATAGGACCTCTCAAAGCCTCTTTTTTGCGTTTTTTTTGTGTTTCTTTCTTTTCGTTTTTTATGAGTAAAACTTCAGTAGTAACAGTCCCCTGCGGTACGTAGTAGGGGTACCAAGGCGATGGAGGATAGACGTAGGAGTCAGGATGAAGGGTGTTCACGTTACTGATCTTGGGGATGTGATAGTGAAGAAAAGATTGAGATTGTAGTGGTTATGGTGACAATGACGATGGAGGGGTAGAAGGAGGAGAAACAGAAGGAATAGGATTAGCAGGAGGGAATTCGATGGAAATATGTACAGGAGAGAAAGCAGAGCAGGGATGTCATGCAACACTAGCGATAGACTCTCCGTCGCTCTGCTGTGCGCTCGGGTTGAAGATGTTGGCACTCATCGTGCACATACCGGCACAGTCATAGAGGAGGAGAAAGAAAGACGATGGCGACTAAAACGTGCATGTCAGTGCAACAGGGTTGACTCGTGGTTTGCAGGCAACATGGCAGACCCGTCTCGAGAGACCCGGCCATTCCCGATCTCGGGAGGAGCGGGTCGAGAAGAGGAAGGGATGGGAGAGGAGAGTATGCCGGAGGCTGGGTCATGGGTCGACGCTGTTTCACGATCACTGGAGATGTCGGTGAGTGCAGGACCCTTGCTCAGTCCTCCTGTCTCACTTCCTTCATGCATGATGTTGATGATTGAGAGGATGCGGATGGTGGTGGTGGTGGTGGTGAGGAGGAGGAGGAGTATTTCGTTGAGGAGGAGGGAGTGGGGTGAGAAAGTGAGGTAGGCAGGGGGAGGGGAGGAGGAAGGAGACAAGGAGTGACGTCTTGGTCCTGCTGTGTTGCGATCGCTCGTTCGGATCATGCACAGAACCTCTGCTGACAGGCTTGCAGTACTTGCTCAAGAGTCGCTCCCCCTGGGTTTACAGCGAGACCATGTCAGCAGACCCCATGGAGGAGCAGAGGGCGAGGCAAGCCCGGGCATCGTGTCCTCCTGCTCTTCTGATACTAGTTGCAGGTCGCTATCGCATGCCTCGGCGCAGCCTCCCATCCTCAGCACGTCCCTCACGTCGCAGGAGGTGACGAGTCGTGTCCCGTCTGCGCTGCTTCTGCGTGCTGAGATGAACTGGAAGGCGAGGGAGACTGGCGAGCATTCGTCGCGCTCCAACTCGTTGATGTTGATGAGGGTGAAACTTTCGCCGGCGGCTGGTGGCGCTTGTGGTGACTGTGGTGATAGGAGAGCTCGGGCTCGCACATGAAGAACATCGGTGACGCCGCATGCTGTGGTTCTGAGAAGTCTGACGGTTGTGTCAGGATTGAAGTCGTTGGAGGACTTTGATGTAGCGCAGAGTATGCAGAGAAGAGGATTGTGCGGTGTGCCGTAATGCTCAACACGATGATCAGGAGGGCTGGGTCAGTATGCAGCAGAGACAGAGAGTCTGTTGTCCGATCATGACATCATGGGAGGAAGGTGAATAAAATGTGCTTGTTCTAGACGAACTTGCTGACCTTTTGTTATGATGAAGTGGACGATCGTCGGCAAGGATATCCGCGACAGGAGAAGTCGCTCTCTCCTCGTTCGGACAGGTTTGTGCTGTCCGTGTGCTGCTTGCGGTCGCTGATGGAGTCGCAAGACTGTCTTCAACGCCCTCAACCTGTTGATGGGAGTTGGGTTGTTGAGTTTGCCGTACGCTATGAGACTTGCAGGTAAAATGCGAGGAGGAGGAGGAAGAGGAGGGACGACGAGGAGGAGGAGGAGGAGGAGGAGGATGAGGTGTTGTTGTTTTGAAAGCGCTTGCTTGCATCAGGATGGTTCGGGATGGTCATCCTCCTCATCTTTTCTCTCTTTACTTGCTACACGGCAAAGCTGCTGGGTCGACTGCAAGGTTTGTCCTTTGTCTGCTGTTGGTAATCGATGGACGTTGTTGAGATTGTGATGATGGAGCAATCACGATGTTCGATATTATGGCGGGGATTGTAGGGGAGAGGATGCTGCAGCATAGCAGCAGCGGCACCTGTGGATGATGATGATGATGATGATGATGATGTTTTGGAGGATTAGAAGGTATTGGAGGAGACGAAGGTGTTGGTGTTTGTGGTGGTGGAGGTAGAAGTGGTATCGGTGGTGGTTGTGGAGACAAGAAAGTTGTAGAGGATGATGCTGGGAGGAAACCTAACCCTGCTTATCAGAGTATACCCCGAAGAGCAAGCTTCGTGAGGGACCGGGGGCCTACACTATCTATGGGTTTCATGATATGGGCAAGACATACAGATTGGTACGGTTGACGTGCAGTTGATCTCTTTGACAGGTTATGTTGTCTTCGGGAACTGGGGGAAACTATTCATCTCTATCTTATTCATTGCTGAAACTTTCGGGTGCTACGATGGAGAAGTCGGGGAGTGAAATCCTGACTGTTGTCGTCACAGTTACTGCTGTGTTACTTGATCATCGAAGGAGAGAATCTGCATCATCAGTTTGCAAATGTCGCGGTAGCGATGCGAACCTGGTATGTGCGACCTGTTCACTCGGAGGGATTTCTTGCAGGTGTTTCAAGATTGGGCGAGGCAAGACTTCATGGTCCTGTCCGCGGTCCTCTTCCTACCAACAGGTTGATGAGAGTTGTCTTCATGTCGAGCTTCATCTCAACCCAATTGATCGTGACGATGTTCACACCTGCGCTACACTCGTGCTGATCATCGCAAGCTGCTTTTTTGCATCGTTGTTGTCCTGTTCGTGTTGGTGACACATGCCTGGTCTTGCCATCAGTTCTGCTCCGGAACTTGTCATGGTTGTCTTACTTCAGTGCTCTCGGCGTCTTCTCTTCTATCATGCTGTTGGTCGGTGAGTTTGGGAGGAGGGAGTAAGAAAGGAGCAGGAGAGCAGTGAAGGAGAGAGAGAGGAGGAGAGCAGTGAAGGAGAGAGAGAGAGGAGGAGAGCAGTGGAGGAGAGAGAGAGGAGGAGGGAAGGTGGGCCAAGGTGGGGTAAGGATAACCGTATTGAAAAGAAGGATTGGGAAGGAGAGGAAACACGAGAGGAGATGAAAGAAGGAGGGAGAAGAGGGGAGGGTAAAAGTTGCTGAGCATGTTTCCTTCAGGGGTTGCGATCACCGGACTGTGGGAAAGCATTCCTCCCAACCAGAAGTACTGCAGGTGAGGTCGAATCATCGATCTTGATGTCAATAATCGTGATGGTGACGATGATGATGACGACGACAATGACGATGACGATGGAGACGGATGATGATGATTGTGATGGTGGTGGTGGTGGTGATGGTGATGATAATGATGATGATGATTTCCTCCTCCTTCATTTATCTCACGCTGTCGCGGGTCACAGTGCTCCTTGCACGGGAAGTTTGATTCGTCCATCCCCGACCGACGACATTCACTTGGACTCGCTGACGAAAGTGATCGGCTTAATCATGGTAACCCTCCCTCCCTCCTCTTCCTCCTCCTCTCCTCTCCTCTCCTCTCCTCTCCTCTCCTCTCCTTGTCCTGACTTCGCCCCCTTCCCCTCACTGCCCTGCCCTGAGTCTGCC